CTTTCCTCTCCCCTCCCTTCCTTCTCCCTCCCTCTCTTGGTCCCCAAATCAAACACACAAACTTAAATACCGCACGGCTTCTCTTATAGGAGCAACCGAAGTATAAATAAATTAAAGGCAAAATAAAAGATAGCTAATAGGAAACGGCGAGATAGAGCTTTTGCAAATGGGAAGGGATCAAGGGCTGCTGCTGCCCCTTGTGAACTATGAGCGGCCTTCAGACTTGCTGTGCACAGGATGTTCCAGAAGGAGGCAAGAACGCCTTCCTGCCACGTCAGCAGTTATCTCTCGTTTGCACCTGGAATCTCCTCCAGGCCCACCTGTTGAATACTTGGCTTCCACCCTGCAGCACTGCTGGGAGCTGGTGGATCCTTTAAGGGGTGGGGCCTAATGGTAGGAAGTGAGGTCACTGGGGTGTGGTCTTAATGGGCGTATTGGAACCACCTCGTCCTTCTTTCTCTCTTTGCTTTCTGCCTGCCATGAGATGAATAGTGCCCTCCATATACACGCCTGCCATGATGCCCTGCCTCCCCACAGGCCAAAGCAACAGAGCCGACAACCATGGACTGGAACTCAGAAACTGCGAGCAAAATAAACCTGTTCCTTTGTTAATGGTCTCAGGTGTTTCATCACAGGCATGGAAAGCTGGCACATGCATGATGGGAGAGAACAACACCCTGCATTCGAGAGATGCGCAAGCAATGGACCCCGATCGGGGGTCTGCTCTCCTCCAGCTCACTCAGCAGCACTGCTCAGAAGGGAGGGACACAGCAGGGTGCGATTAAGAGGATCCATCTGGGGTGCCCTGGAGGCAGGTGATGAAACAGGATTTGGGGGCAGACAATTCATTTGGGAGGTGTTGGAGGGCAGCAGGCTGAAGGAGGAGCGAGATGGACATGAGGAAGCCAGCAGAGATTGTTCGTGCAGGGCTCCCTCTGGGCATCAGCTCAGCACTGATGTGGACCCTCTGAGGAGCAGGGAGGGCCTCCTGGAGCTGCCAACAGGAGCTTGGGGTTCACCCACTCACTCCTGCCTTCCATGGGGCTCACTCATCCCCAGCACCACCAGGCTGCCCTGCAGGCAGACACCCATTTCTGAGGACCTCAAAAGCCTCAGGCAGGGAAATGGAGCGATCCATGCTGGGGTGGGAACCTGGGAGTTCCTGAAATCATCCACCTCAGCCACAGGTGCGCTCAGAGAGGTCACAGATAGTGCTGGCCATGGGCGACTGGCTCCTCAGGGTTATGGGACACACGCAGAGTGAGGGGAGGAGTCCAGCGGTCACGTAGTCACCTTAGAGAGGAAGCAGTCCCTGCCTACGCAGGTCAGGCTCAGGACTGCTCACTGAGGCATGGCAGGAACAAGGCACCCGGTGGTGGGCCAGTGACACTGGTAAGTGCTAGTGACTGGGTATGTCAGGAAACCTGCTCCAGTGTGCCAGTCAGATCATTAGCTCTTTGAGCCAGCCAATCATGCTTCCTGAATGCTGTACTGATGTCAGTCCTGGTTCTGAGCAGAGGGAAATAAGCAGACCCTGTGTCCCCACAGTGCCACCATGACAGGAGAGCTGGGTCCCCAAGACAGGGAGGAGCCCTTCCCCTTCACAGCACTGGACTCAGAGGCAGAGAATGGGAGCTGGGAAACAGCTTCTAAGAGAAAAGTCCAGTTTGATCCCGAGGGTGAGTTCAAAGGCATCAGGAGGGGTAGCTGAGGAGAGGGCACACCAGGGGGGCGGCAGATGCAAGGGCAAGGAGGCCTGAAGCCAAGTGGCCCTGTCACTGTCTCTTCTTCCTACAGTGCAGGCACAGTGGGGTTTGCTTCTTTCTCGCACTCGGAAGCTCCATGAGGCAAGGGCCAGGCCTGGCTCGTCTCTGGGCCCCAGCTCCTAATACAAGGCCAGGCACATGGTGAGGCCTCCTGGACATGGGTGGGCCTGAGGAGGAGCATGCATCTGCCAGGCAGGCTGGGAATGGGGCTGCCCTTCACATGCCTTACGCACTGGGCCGGTCTCCAGGCCAGGTCGCCTCATGCCTCCTCCCAGGAGTGCCTTTGTAGACAGGATTCCCGTGGACCCTGTGCCCCTTTCACCATGTGAGGAAGCAGCAAGATGGCAGCCATATGTGAACCAGGGATTGGGTCCTCACTGAACATTGCATGTGCCAGAGCCTTGATCTTGCACTTACCAGTTTCCAGAACTGTGAGCAATGCCTTCCTATTGTGCACACGCCTCTCAGTCTGTGATAGTCTGTTATAGCAGCCCAAACAGGCTAAGATGTGACCTTATTTAGGTGAACTCCCGTGCAGAGCAGGCTCCCTCCAAATAAACTCTGAGACAGAGATTTGGATACAAGAAGTGCCCGCAGGGTCAATCCATGTGAAGGAGGGAAAAAAGTGGGACTGCACAGGGAGAGAAGCTTCACTGCAATCTCATCCCAGAAAATGCCTCAGGAGATCCCGAGGATGAAGCCCTGGAGTTGGGTCCATGTGTCTGTGAGTGAGCTCTTAGACTCTGCATTTGTCCACTGAGCATCCATTGGGCTCTGTGGTCCAGAGCTGATTCTGAACCACTTCCCTATCTGACTCCCACATCTTCCAGGTTTCCCTGCCCTAAATCAGCCCAGCTCCAGGTACCAGGCAACTGGTACCCAAAGGTCATGTGGGGAAGTGGTGGGACCTTTCCAAGATGGAGCACAGTGGGTGGAAATTAGGTCACTGAGATGTGCTCCTGAGGGGATATGGAGACCCTGGCCCCTTCTTTCCTTTTTGCTTCCATTGTCACATACTCCCACTGTGATGAAACACCTTGCCACAAACCCAGAAACAACAGGGTCAACTGACCATGGACTGAAACCTCCAAACTATGAGCCCAAATAAACCTTTTCTCTTTTTCAGTTGATGAACTGAGGTATCTGGTATGGCAGTGGTAAGCTGGCTGACACATGTGGCATGTCCCCTCCTCTTGGAAAGTATAAGCAATAAAAAGCTTTCAAGGCCTTGGCCTCTCTGTGTTATCACTCAGTTGCCTCCATAACTTAAAATCCTGAAGGTACAGTTGTAGTAGGAGGTCAGGCTTTTGTTTCCTTGTTGTCTAGTGATTGGAGGTGAGTGGCCTCCATGAAGTGGGTGTAGCCTGGGCAAAGTGGTTCTCCTAAGTCGAGGGCAATAGCCCCAAGGAGATTTATCTTGGAGCAGTCAGCTACCTACATTACCAGCAGGGGGACAATGAGGGTTTCAGGCATCCATCGTGAAGGTTTGGACGGCAGTGAGCACCAGCTGCAGGTGTGACGATTTCTACCTCCTCCCTTTCTCTAATGGATGCACTTGATGCTAAATCTCTTCCTCAAAGTGTACCTTTAGGTGCACCCCATGGATTCTGTTGCTCTTTCACTTCATTTCTTGAAATTTCTACATTTCATTAAATTTTTTTGACATTTCACAGTATAATCGCTTAATTTTCAGAAATTTGGGAACATTCTAGTTACCTTCCTCTCAGACCTTCTTGAAACCATTACCCTAATTTTCTCTCCTGGTCATGCTAGGCTTTAGTTGGCTGGTCAGAGGGCTAAGTTAACCCTGTGTCTCTTCCTGAGCATTGTGGATAACCACCCCTTTGCTGCTCCACACGGGAGTAGGCAGTGAAGGTTGCATGAGTCCCTCAGGTTAAACCTGCATTGCTGCTTCCCATCGCAGACCGGCATGTGGTCTTAGAAATATCCTGCAATAGCTCAAGGTTCCAAATGCCACTTAGCTAAACAGAGAAGCAAACTTGTGCCCAGAGCAGAGACATGAATATACAATTTACCAGGAATGATTAGCATTTCAGGTCTATGGTTTTCTTTTTCTTATTTTTCTAAATTTTTACTAGCACGTGCTTATAGTATGTCATGTTTATACCCTTGTGTGGAGTTGGGACATGGACATGACACAGCTTCATTCCCTTTTACCCCCTTTCCCTCCTCTTCCTCCCTGTCGATCCCTTCCCAATTGAGAAAGATCTATCTCCCTACTTCTAATTTTCTATCTTTTATTTTGCTTTGTATACTTTGGAGTTCTGAAATAAGAGAAACCAGGCAATATTTAAGCTTATATTCCGATTTGATTTCACTTGACATTATGATCTCAAGGTCCATCCATTTTACTACAAGTGACTGAAGTTTATCTTTTTTTATGGCAGGGTAGTACTCCATGGTGTGTAAATACCACATCTTTATCAATTTATCTGTTAGTAGATGTATAGGCTGCTTCCAAGACTTAGCTATTATGAACTGTGCTCATTTAAACATGAGTATGCATGGCTCACTGTAATACAATGTCTTTAACTCTTTTGGGAAGATACCTGGAAGGGGAATAGCTGTGTCTAATGGAATTTCTAGTTTCAGTTTTTTTGAGGAATCTCTATACTGACTCCAGGGTGGTTGTGCTACTTTACATTCCCACCAACAGTGTAGAAGGGGTCTTTTTCCCCACAGCCTTGAAAGCATTTGTTATTCAGTGATTTTGTAATGAAGACCATTTTTTTCTGGGCCAAGATGGAATCTCAGTGTTGAGCATTTCTTCATGTATTTATTTGCCATCCGTACTTCCTCCTCCATGACTTTACAATCACAACTGCTAATGTACATTGAATGTGTCCTACGTGCTGGGCATTACTACCTGCTGGATAGCTATAAACTCTGTCCTCACAGCAACACTGTGAGGAAAACACTGCTCTTCACCCCCATATACAAGCAGGGAATCTGGAGCCCAAAATGTTTGAGTTACTTTCCCAAGGCTGGAAGACAATAACTAGCAAAGTTAGGATTTGAACCTAAGAAATCTGTGCCTAGAATGCACATCTTTGGCTACCATGCTTTATTCCCTTGAGGCGAGTCAAAGATGTTGCAAGCTATATATTTTTATTTCTATGAAAATTCATATAGTGGCTCAAAAATATTATTTTCTTTTTCATCCTGTTTCCCATGGAGTTTGCTCCAAAACAGAATTCCCTTCAGGGCCATTTAATTTGGAATCAAGTATTTTATTGGTCAAACATCCATTTTATTAACATTTCATCTTATGAAAGTTCAGTGTGATTGAACTGGTTTATATTTTCTCACAAAATTATTTTCACAGTGAAAAAAGAAAGAAAGAAAGAAAGAAAGAAAGAAAGAAACAGCTTAGCAGGACTTCTGTGCTTGACAGCAAGAGGTAAAAGTTTCTCTTGGAAAACATTCTTCACCTCCTCAACCTGAGAAGGGGCCACTGAAGGTCCTCATCATAGAGCCTTAAGGGGACATCACAGGAAGCTCAGGGTATTTCAGTCTTCGGATTCCATGGAAACTGTGAGACCAGAAGCAAGTATGCTTCATTTACAGAGCACCAGCGCTGGGTCATCTGCTTAACCCTCATCAAGAACTCGAGGCTCAGAGGAGCTGTCTTGTCCAACGTCCTCAGGCCAATTAGCATCTGCGCTGAAACGGGCTTGCTGGGTTTTTGCACAGTTACTTTCTTCGATAGTCCATCCAAGGGAAGAGAAACTGAAAAATAAAATAAAACAAGGTTTGGCTTGATTTTACCTCCAAGGAAGTGGTGGGATTGAGTCGTTAAAAGATTCATTTCCCCAAAACTCATAAAACAAAAGTGATGTCAGGGAACAAATGCAGGAGAGGACTATAAACAAAGCCATCCAGAAGTCTCACCGAAGAAATGACAGGGCACGGGGCTCTGGCCCTGGTCAGCTTCCAGCAGATCCTGGTTTCCAAAAAAGACAACTCACAGTATTTAGCATGCCCTTCAAGGCTGTGTTGGCAAGTCCATAAACACTTCAAAACAGCAGTGTGGCCATTTATTAAGAAGTTCTCGACGGCCTGTAATCCTAGCTCAAAGGAAATTAACATTCTCTTAAACAATTCCAGGTTTCTTGGTCCAAGCCAGAGGTCTGCAGTCTTGGAGAGAAGTTTCTGGTGTGTGAAAGGGTATATGGAAAGAAGGCAGCAGGCCAAGTCTGATTGTCCTTGAAGCCTGGGACAGAGCAGCTAGAGCTTTGCATGCACTCGTGAGGGAAGCACGGTGTGCACAGGAGAATACTGCATGTGAGGGGAAGGCGCAGGGCTCCCCAGAGTGATACGGGGGTTCTGCTCTGTGGATCTGGCATGTGACTTCCGGTCGAAGGCTTGTCATCCGGTGACTCTGGAGCAGTCCATAGACAGCATGATGAGCAGAGCACCTAGCCCAGATAGGAATCCCTGTTTCCACTTGCCTTGTCTGAGCCAGTGTTTCTCTACCTGGAAGGTGGACATAAGGATGTGGATGGGCATCACAGAACTGTGAGAAGACATTCATAATATTTGTGAAGAAAGGGTGCATATCAGTCACTTCCCCATTGCTGGGACACAATACCGGACATGCACAGCTTAAAGAAGGAGAGCTTTATTCAGGCTCATGTTTCCAGCCCAGAGTTAGCTGATTCCAAGGCAGGGTGGCATAGCAGAGGGGCTGGGCAGGCAAGAGCTCCTCGTGGCATGGCAGACAGGAAAGCAGAGAGAAGCGCGGAGCTGGGAGGGAGAGGAGCCCTTCCAGTTCACCTCCCAGTTACCGTACTATTGTCTAGACTCTACCTCCTAACAGCAAGCCAGCTGTAATGCTCCATGATCCAGTCACCTTCCACAAGCCCTGGCTCCCAGCGCCTGAGGCTTGGGGGTATTCCTGGACATCAAGTCTGTATCATCATGGAGAGGTATTTCCTAATCTCCAGCTTTGGATCCACAGGTGGATCCATAGGTATCCATGGTCCAAGGCAAGAGATGTGTATAGACTGTGTAGAGTCAGGATCTGCAAATGTTAAATCAACAAAGCTTAGGCCTGATGATGGGGGCAATACAGAGCCACGGAAGGCTTTTCATCAACAGAACAATGTGTTGGAGTGAGTGCTGAAGACTGGTTGCACAGGGTTAGGCCAGATGGACTAGAAGATGAGAAAGACCAGAGCGGAGAGATGAGCTCAGGAGGCATGATAGGCGTACAGGCAGAAGACAGTGCGACCAACCACCCTGTGTCTGAGGAAGCCTGTAAGATGAAACAGAGACACAAAGAAAGGAAAAAGGAACGTGAGAAACATAGGCTAAGAAAGAAAGAGGAATGTCATTACATTCATGAAATAAAAACAGGCTGCCGTATAAAAGAAGTGCTTTTCTCCCCTGCCCCACCCAGGCCAAAATTTTTGTCTTGGAATTTAAAAATATAATAATTAGAAATGTAAAGACGTGGAAGATAAATTTAAGGAAATATTCCAGAAAGTAGAGGAAAATAACAAAGAATAATGGAAAAGGGAGAGAAAAAAGATTTTTAAAAATGAGAGCTCTTTCCATGTAGTTCAATATATGAGTAATAGAAATTACCAAAGAAATTACCAAAGTTCAATGCATGAATAAGGAGAATCAAAAAAGAGAGAAAATCTATGAAGAAAAATATTTTCCAGAGCAGAAGATACGAGTTTTCAGACTGAAAGTTTCCACCGAGTGTCCAGCATCTGGGACAAAAAGGAACCCACTACCAGGTATGTCAGCCTCAGATTCCAGATCCCTGGAGACAAGAGAAGAGCCTACAGTCTTCCAAAGAGAACATGTGGATCACGCACAAAGGATCAAGACTCTTAACAGCGTAGGGCACCTTTGGGGCCACCACCCACACCTAGAAAGCTGTGGCATGGTGCTGCAGGAACATTGCCTTTATGCTGGAAATCTCCATCAGGCTAGCGAGTGTGAGCACAGATAGCTCCAGACATGCAGGATCTTGGATATCGCCCCCATACACTTTTCATCAGAAAGCTCCAAGAGGATGTACATTAAAAAAAAAAAAAAACTAAGAGAGAGATGTGGCTTATAAGAAAACAGGATGGATCCCGGGGGAAAGGCTTTGGGGATGCTCAGGCTGATGCAGGGAGAGCCTGGAGTATAGCTCTGCATCAGAACTCTAGTTGGGCTCCGGGGTGGCCCGTGTGTTAAAGGCGTGATCTCCAGCCCATGTCACTGCTGGGAGGTGATGGGAACTCCAAGTGGTCGGGCCCAGTGGGGGGCTTTCAGTCCCCCAGGGTGTGACCTTGAAGAGGACTCTGGGAGCCTGGTGTGTTCCTCTCTCTTTTGCTTCTGGGCCAGTTCTGCTCCGCCACACACACCTGCCTTGTTGTGCCGCCTCACCATGGGCCCAAAGCAAATGGAGCCAATGGACCGGATCCTCCAAATTCATGAGCCAAAGTAAACCTTTGTCTTTCTTTTTTTTGGTACCGGGGATTGAACTCGGGTCCTTGTGCTTTCGAGGCAGGCGGCGGAACCACTGAGCTAAATCCCCGGCACCTTTGTCTATTGATTACTTCAGGTGTTTGCTGTGGTGACGGGAAGCCAACCCAGACAATTACTTACACTGGGTCAAGTCAGAAACCTCCAGGAGAGGCAACTTCAGAAACAGAAATGAGACAATATCCCGACATGTTCAAACCACATACAAACAACCATAGACACACAAAGACAGAGATTAACCTGGGCCAAAGCGAGACAGAAATGCCTGCACAGCTGGGAGGATTCAGGGAGGTAGGGGGAGAAAGAAAGACAGAGACAACTGAAGCTCCTTCTTCCACCATGAGGAGCCCAAACAGATGACTCCAGGAAGCAATGTGAGCATGCTGCTTGATAACATGAAAGTCATTACAAACACGTCAGGCTCAGAAAGTTGTGAACTCTGGGGACAGAGACAGGGAGGAGAGGTTGGTAGCTGGTTTTCATGGCAGACTGGAAATTTTTGGAGCCCTTAAATTGGATCCATGTAAAATTTTGATAAAAGTCAAACTTAAGGAAGGAAAATAAGATTACATTTCACAATCTTAGAAAAAACAAGCAAAAGTCTCATTCTCAGCTCAGGCAAAAACTCAGGACTAGAAGTAAAGCTTTTGGGGTCAAGAGCCCTTCATTAGATTCAAGACCTGGACACTTGTCCAGCGCTGCCACGAGCCCTCTGTGTGACTGGGACAAGTCCCAGAGTTTGTGCCGCTGCTTGGTCCCTGGCCAGTGGGAGTTGGAGTGGAGCCAGAGAGGCTGCATCAGGGCCTGTGTCCTGTGCTTGGGGACCCCAGACTATGAGGCCAGTCTCTTGCCAGGTGAGGTCAGGGTCCCTGGACAACCCCAGCCATGTAGAGGACAAATGACACTGAAGTCCCTCTGGGGCCTTGCTGTCCCAAGGAGCTCAGCCAGCCCAGGGAGTCTGCGTTGCTTCACAGCAGGTGTGAAGTTCAAGGCTCCCCTCCTCTGAGGCTGATTGCCCTATGGAGAGTGCCCACTGCCACCTGGATGCCCGGGAGTTTCCCGACACCTTGTCCCTCTCTGCCTGTACAGTGTCCCTGCCATCCCACCAGGTGTGCCCAGGCTAGGTAGATCGCAATGGCCACCCGCACTGTTACTTCTTTGGGAGGAGCTTCCCCCATATTGACTCTTCTGGAGACTCGTAGCTAGGGTCACCTGCCAGGCCCTGAAGCCACTCACCAAGTGGAGCCCAGGTCCTGAGCACTGCAGTCAGCTTGGACTCTACTCTGCAGCTGAGATGTGCTCACCTCGGATCAGGACAAAGATGCTGGGAAATGCTTTGTGACAAATCAAAACAAAATGTTGTGCTTCAGCTGTGGGTTATTTATTGAAAATCACAGTGCTTTTAGAGCGGTGGGAAACGTGAGTGCCTGTGGACTTTGTCCAGGGCGCTGAGAATTCAGATCACAGAGAAGCACATCACCACCGTGGGGAAGAAGCTGCTGAAAGGAAACCAGCAGCCAGGAATCTGAGTTCAGCAGACTCCCCAGCTTGCTGGAAAGCAGGAACCCGGAAGCTTTGACTTGGCTAAGGACTCTCTTGTGTCTGCTGGAGACTTCTGGAAACACCATTTGTGCTGCAGCCTTCCCTCTCCACCTCCCACCTTCCTCTTTTAAAATATCTCCATAAAATCCAATAAAATAAATGAGAACTAAAGAAGTCTGAGTTTAATATTCAGAGGGTGTAATTCAAGTGTAGCCAGTTGGACCACTTCCCTGCTAATCAGAAGAATCGGTTTTTCTCCTTGTTTTCTTTGTAGAAAATAAAGTTAATACTGTGGTTAGGGAAGCCACACGGAAGCGTGGCCAGAGCCTGGGCTCCCTCCTGTCCCCAGAGAAGGCGCAGGACGGAGTCTGCCCTGAGCACCCTTCAGGCCTTCCTTAGAATTCACATTTCCAGATCTCCAAGCCTCAGCTCCCAAGTATGAGGCCCCAGTGTGGGGCTTTCCCAACTCTCCAGAGAGTCCTCTCAGGATGTTCCCCAGCCCCATCTGTGTCCTGGTACTGGGAACCCTGTCCTCAAGGAACCCCCTCAAGCCCTGAGTTCTAGACAAGCCCACCAATATGGCCGTTCACAGGACTCAGTCCCAGGCAGGTGTCAGAATTAACAAAGCAGAGTTCCACCGAGAAAGGGAAAAGAAAATTGGCCATGATGGTGCACACCTGTAATCCCAGCTACTCAGGAGGCTGAGGCAGGAGGATCACCAGCTTAAAATCAGCCTCAGCAATTTAGACCTTCAAAATAAAAAATGAAAAGGGCCTGTGTGAGGTTCCTGGATTCAATCCCCGGCACCAGAAAGGAAGGAAGGAAGGAAGCAAGGAAGGAGGGAGGGAGAGGAGATAAGGTAAGAGGGAGAGGAGATAAGGTAAGGATAAAGGGCCATTTCTAAAGGGGCTAATGACTTCTTGTTGTTCCTTCCACTTTCCCTTGAGCTTTCTCCTTGAGAGGTCAAAGCCCCAGTGTACCCTGGGGATAAGGGACCACTTTTGCCTCTAAATGCTATGTCATCCGACCCGGGTGCTCTGTGGGCTTTGCTGGCCCCTCCAGACATGCTCCTTAGGTCTGTCACCCACCAGGTGCCAGGAGGAGACCCTTGTGGGCACCAGTCAATCTCCTATGACTTCAGGCTCCCAGCTGGGTTAATAGATAAAAGGAAGTGGCAGCAAAAGACACAGGGGAGAGGAAGAGGGAGTCCCCCCTCCCCTGGAAAAAGCTGTGCTTTTCCATGGAAGGACATGGCTCATGCCAAGTGGCCTTGTTATGGTTTGGATCTAAAATGTCCCCCTCAAAGTCTCATGTGTTTGGAAGGTGACTGGATCATGTGAATGCTGTATTTATCTGTGGATTCATCCATTGATGATTTCATAGCTGAATGTGCTACAGGAAGTAGGATGTGACCTATAAGGGTGTTTTCCGGTGCCTGATTCTTCCCTTCTCTCTCTACTTCTTGGCTGACATGAGGTGAGTAGCTTTTCTCCTCCATACACTTCTCCCTTACCATTTCTTCCCTGGAGCCGACCAACCATGAATTGAAGCCCCTGAAACTGTGAGCCAAAATAAATCTCTCCTCCTTTAAAGTGCTGTGTATTTGTCCTAGTGATAGGAAAGTGACTAATGTAGGACCCTTTCAGAGCTTTGGCAACAGCTGTCATTGGGTCCGGTAACTCCTCCTTCCCTGGCCCTCGAGGGCCCTCGAGGTCAAGGAATAAGATCTTTCAGGATGGCTAGTCTCAGGATGCTTTGTCACAGCTCACTGATTTCCTTAGACCTATTTTGAAAACAGTCCTTCAGCTGTTCTGAGTATGCACCCTTTCCTTCTAGGACCTTGTCCTAATAACCTGCAGCTTTGGTGGAAGAGGACACTCTGGCACCTCGTCACTGTGTCCTCAACACTAGTTTTTCCTCCATGTTAGAGGTTTCAACTCTAATTCAGACCCCTCTGTAATATATTTTTGGGAGACACTCTTCCTGATTATCTCAAAAGGGGGGGGGGTGACATCTCATTATTCCAGACAATTGTGTCAGTGATGTTGGTCACACAGCCTTAGGAGATAAGATTGTCTCCCAGAACCAAGGGCAGATTGACTTACAGGCTTTGGAAGATAGAGATCAGATTTCCTTTCAGCACAAAGAAAAAGCCAACATTTCCCAGGACAGAAGACTTCACTTCCCTAAGCTCAGAGTTCCTCTCCTGGAACTAGCCTGCTGTGCATACAGGCACCCCCGCCCCTCATCAGTAACCCTATGGCAATGGGAGCTTGGGGAACCACACAGGAAAATGCTGCTACTGCTGTCAGTAATACAATGTATTACACAGTTTGTCATCACTGGGTCCAAATATTTGACACCCACAACTTAAAGAAGTTTAATTTGGTTCATGGTTTTGGGAGATTCAGTCCATGGTCAGTTGACTCCAAGGCAGAAATATCATGGCAGAAGGCTGTAGTAGAGCAAAGATGCTTACTTCATGGTGGCTGAGCAAATGAACAGTTCTGGAGATGAAAGAGTGAGGGTTTGGATATAGTACCTGATGTCAAGCCTCTGTGACCCAACCAGACACGCCCAGGAGTGTGCACTACTAATCCCCAGGTGGCTCTGAAGTGAGTCAACTTGACAATCCAGCTTAACTGTCACACAGTCCTTTGTCTTTGAACCAGGAGTCTCAAGTAGAGCCTCAAGCCCTGCACACTCTGGACAGATGAACTCGTAATAGAGGTAGAAAGTCAAGGGCACAGGCTGTGGGGTCTCCATCCAGCCCCCAGCCAAGCCCAGGAATAGAGGAGCATCACAGCCTCTCCAGAGCCCTCTACCTACTCTACCGATACAATCAAAATCAAACCCTCCAGCCCTTGCCAGTGCTCTAAGTTCAAGAAGTGCTATATGCGTGTTTTGCAGGTATATACATGTGTCAAAACCTATCCAAGTGCACACTTAGAATTGTAGTGTATTGTACCCCAATACATTTCAGTAAAACAGGTAATCTGAGAGGAAACTTCTGCCTTCAGGCTTACATGACCATCTCTAAAAGCAACAGAAGGCAAACAGCATCTGTGGGTTAAACTACTATAGCCCAAGTTTCCTGAAACATAGTGGTTCAAAGAAGATGGGAGCTTCTCCATCCCATGACAGTCCAGAGGAAAGGAGGCAGCTCAGGGGCCCCAGGATCTCTGCCCCACAAGGTCTCCCAGGTCCCCAATTCCTCCTATCCTGTTGTGCAGTGCCTGATAGTAAAAGTCAAGCATCCATGGCTACCCATGACCACACTGCAGCCTGCAACCAGGGGAAAGAGCAAGATTGGAGAGAACCAATCTGCACTTGGAAGCACTGCAGAATGGCGCACCTCACGTTCCATCCACCAGCGAGAACAGTCAGCGGGATGCCTACCTGCAAGGGGAGCTGGGAAGCGCTGTCTCTGGCTCTCAAAATCGGCATGTTAGTTACTTTCCTTATTGCTGATACAATGCCCAATACTCACGCCATAAAGGAGGGAAAGTTTCTTTTGGCTCACATTGCAGTTCATAGTCTACTGGCTCCAAGTCAGGACAGCATGGCGGAAGACAGCTGGCAGCAGGGAAGCTGATTGGGACCAAGGCAGAAGCTGAAGAGGGAGCTAAGCCCTTCCAGATCATGCCCCCAGAACCCCCTTTCCTGACCAGACCCCACCATCTAACAGCAAGTGAGCTCTAAGCCTCCATAATCCATCACCTCCCAAAAGCCCCACCTACGATCACACGAGCCTCTTGTGGGCCATCTGGATCTCTAACAGAGTGTGTTTTGGTGTATAAAAGGAGGGCAATATATACTTAAGGACAGTTAGCCATCTCTGCTGCAATATGCACAAGACAGAGGCAACAGAATCCATCTCTATAACTTCTACCATCATGCACTCAACAAATTGCTCCCCTCTCACACAACTTACTTTACGCTGATGATGAGTGGTGTATGATGCTCTGCTGGGGCCACTGTAAGAAGGTATCCTGCACTAGAGGAATTAAACACTGGAAAAGTATTTTGTCCCAGCTCTGGAGTCCGAGGGTCTGGAATTAGCCCTGTTTCCTTCTGAGGAATTGTGCGGAGAGTCGCTCTGGGGCTCTCTTCAGCCTCAGGTGGCCTCAGATGTCCCTCAGTGTAGATGGCCATCTCTTCCTCGTGTCTTAGTATGTGTCTGCTCTTCCCATATGGCATCCTGTTATAAAATAAGGATTTTTGGACCAGTCATTGGATTTTGGACCCATCCTACTCCAGGTTGACTTGATCTTAACTCATTATATCCGCAGCAAACCCCCTTCTCAATAGAATTGCTTTCTGGGGTATTCAGAGCTATGATTTCAACACACACTTTTGAGGGATACAGCAAGTGGGAAAAGAACTGGATTTGATGCCAAGAAACCTGCGTGCACATCTCAGCTCTGCCACTGCCCTGCTGGCAGACCTCAGGCAGTCACAGGCCCTCTGACCTCAGGGTCCTCGTTGTCAGTGAGGAAGTGAGCCTGTGTCTTCGCAGGGCCGAGGTGAGAATGAAGGAGGGGAGGGCTGCAAAGTGCTGAGCTCGCCGTAAAGGGCTGCGATGTCTCTCCCTGCCCCACACCAGCTTCAGAGGGAGAGGGGCCGGGGGCACGATGCTCCTCCCTGCCTGGACGTGCCATGCCCTTTTTTGAATTAAAACTGGTGGAGGATTCTCCACACCACTAAAGTCAGAAGGGGCCTCTCAGAGAGAAACTCTACCATGGGCAAAATACCTTCAGTTCCTCAAAGGGGGAAAAGCCCTTTTGGTCCACAGATGGGTAATTGTATTCACTGTTTCCAAATGTCAAAATGCCAGCCTGGGCCAGCTTTCTACTGAGATCAAACGGGCCCCCGGGCCTCCTTCCTACTGATGTGGATGTGCATTTAGCCACGGTGGAAAGGGCTGATTCTGAGCAGAGCGGGCCCTGCAGCCTGAGCCATGCACGCAGCAGAGGGGAGACAGACAGACCGCTGGGTCTGAGGCCCAGAAGTCACACCCAAAACAGCAGATGCCCTCTGAGCTGCCAAAGGGCACAGTATATGCCACCTGATCTTGAGAAGCAAAAGATGGAAGAGGTTGTGAAACTAACAGGGCGAGCCAGGTTGTCCAGGCTACAATTTTAATCTGGGTATCAAAACCAGACTGACTCTGAGCATGAATTGATCTTTGCTGCTGGAAGTTTTGGAAATGAAATCATCAGCCAAGTGCTCACTCTAATGCCAGCGGCCCAGGGTCTTGGAGAAGGTCCTAAATCATTACACCACTCTGCGGACCTGCGAGAGTGCCTGAGGCTGGAGACCTGGGTTCCAATCCTGTAACTCTCAGGGTGCCCCTCAGCAGTGTCTTTAACATTCCCAGTTCCCTCACCTGCGAGTGGGAGGTCATCACAGCCCCAAGCACGTGGGGCTCCTAAGGGTGCCGGCAGCACTGGGCCTGGCAGAAGAAACCTCCCTCCAGTCAATGAGCAGCACTGCATGCTCAAGAGGGGGAGATGATTCCGGCTCCCAGTGTGTTACAGTTTATATCTCGATGTCCCCCCAAAGCCGCATTTGCTCATAGGTGGGAAGGTGATTGGATCATGGGAATGCTGTCACTGGGGTGCATCTCCCTCCTGGCTCCTCCCCTTTCTCTCTGCTTCCTGTCCCCCATGCCGTGAGCAGCTCTCCTCCGCCAGGCCCCTGTGTCTTGCCATCCTGCCTTGCAGCCGGCCAACTGTGGACTGAAATGTGAGCCAAAACAAACCTCTGCTCCTTTAAGTTGTGGGTGTTGGGTTCTGGATCCTGGCAAGGAGAAAGTGACTAAGACCCAGTGCCGCAGTGGGAAGACCCCCGCCTGATCATCCCTCTCCTCCCCACCAGACTCTGATTTAGCCCATGAGGACACGGAACGCACCAGGACCACATGTTGCTTGTGTTTCCGCACAGCGTGTCTGGTTTTAACATCACAGCCTTGCAGAGAAATGAAAGGATGGCTTGCAAACACCTGCATCCTACAGCCCCGGGGACATTGACAGTCGAGTAATCCATCAAGATAAACAGTGATGAGTTTTATCAGGAAGATGTGATTTGTAACTAGAGCTGCATCCTGAGAACACTCCTGAAATGGTGTGGGGAAGTGGCTTCAGAGTCCCCTCAGCTGCTCCTCAGCTGCTCCCTGACACCTTCACTCCAGGATCCTGTCACTCCCAGCGCCCCAAGGCCCTGGCACAGGCTGCTCCTCTGACATAGCACCACCCAGTTGGGCCTGGGCCTGACTCTTACCAGGTTGGGGGCAAACTGCCCTCAACCTGCAGGTCGGCTTCTGCTAGAAATGACCTTCCTCGGGACAACTCGGCACCGCTAAGGTGGGTGTCCCCCACTGAATTGGCCCTCCCAGGCCCCCATACGTACTCCCTCCTGGTGCAAAGCATGGGCCACTGTTCAAATCATCACATAACTCATTGCCTGTCACTCCAACTGGACTGGAAGAGCCACCCCCAGCTGTCCTGCCACTGTCCAATCCCAGGCCTGGCATCCAGTGTCAAAAGCTACAGGAACGAGTGATGTGCATCCTCCATCATCATTCCCTTCCCCCTACTTCAGCAGGTGACAGATGAGAAAATGACTCGCAGGGCAAAAAACCTGACTAAGAACTCAGGGAGCCTGATCACTTCCAGTGTGGACCCAGTCTCAGTGCCCCTCCATGACCTCTTGCTGCTCCATCCTCTGGGGTTCCAGGTGACCCTGAATGTCTCTGAAGTCTCCCTGAAAGGTGTCTCCACACCTCATCCCCAAGATGGGCCTGTGGTGGTGGACAGTTGCTGGCAGGTGGAGACATTCTGGACCAGAGTCCCTTCTCCTCATCAGCTCTGCATGGCTTTGAGAGTTCCACCACGTGCTCAAATGTGTCTCTGTGATTTTGGGAGTGGGCCCTCTTGTGAGCACTCAGCTCAGCAATGCATGGCCTCTGCCTGGGCAGGGATCTGATGGGCCTCAGCCCTTCACAATGGCGCTGTGGGAGGCCAGCAGGAGCAAAAACAAGATTACACAAATCCCAGCTCCTGGACTCACCAGGGTAACAAGGCTTGACATCTGCCCTGGGGGGTAAAAATATTAATTGTGGCCCGAGGGCCCAGCTCCCATGTCAGGAGATGGGGCTCCAAGTGCACATTTTGGACCACTCTTGACATGCTAGCCTTGACTATGGCCTTGAGAGTGTCCTCCATCCATCCACCTATCCACCCATCCATCCATCCCTCCATCCATCCATCCATCCATCCATCCATCCATCCAGTACTTACCGTGCAATCAAAAGAGTCCTCATTCTAAAAGTCATCTGCATCTGTCTGGTTAGCAGATGACATACAACAGCTATAATACTGATGATGTCTGATACTTGTGTGTTCACTGCCCACCACTCCAGTGCATCTTACCATATGAAGCCCACAGCAGTCCTGTGCAGTAGGGGCCATCTCTTACGTCCCATCTACAGCTGGGGAAATGGAGGCTGAAGGGTAGGTAACTTTCCAAGATGCAGGGTGAGGATCTGAAGCAGTCCTCGGAACTGCAGTAGGAGACAGGAGGGCAGTGGTCAGGCGGGTGTCCCAGAGGAGGCCCTGGGCTAAGCTGTCTGACTCTCAGAGCCTCAGTCCCCTCCTTTATTAAGCAGCTGTAGGAAGTCCTGGCTCCAGGACTGTCACTGCATTAGGTATGAAAAAGTTTGTGAGGAGTGGGAATCCTGGCACGAGACACGGAGTAATGCAGGAGGATGTCTTCACTTACAGCCCTGTGGTCTAAGCTCACAGAAGCAGGAAGCGTCTTGTATTAGTGAGCTTTTCTGTCACCGGGACAAAGTGGCCAAGGCCAAACCCTAAAGAGAGGAGGTTTTTTGGGGCTTGTGATTTCAGAAGGTTCAGTCCATGGTTGGCTGGCTGTATGCCATGGTGGAAGAGCATGGCCATAAAAAGCTGCTTACCCCATATCAGCCAGAAAGCAGGGAGACAAGGGAAGAGCCAGGGAAAGAGAGGCAGCCTTCCAGGCCATGCCTCCGGTGGTCACTTCTTCCGTTCAGACTCCACTTCCTAACAGGAAGTCAGCTGTCAGTGGATTAGTCCACTGGTGAGTATAGTAACCCCATGATCCAGTCACCTTCCAAACATGCAAGGCTTTGGGGTACAACCCAGGTCTAAACCCTAACACCATAATAGGTTCTGAGGTCACGGGAGTACATGGATGGATGGATGAATGAGAAGGAAGCTGAATGGATGGGCAGAATTTCAGAACTCCAAGGAGCTGATCAGCTACATCCCCCACCTCAAGTGGCCAGAGGCCTGAAGAGGGAAGTGATTGACTCAAGACCATACAGTAATCAGACCCAGAGCTGATGGATCCTAGCACTTTTTACTATGCCTCACCCCCCTTTAAGATTTCAACATTATTAATTACTTGCTTAACTTGAAGCAGAGAACATTGATTAAACTCCCCATGGTACCTCTTCCACACTTTGGGGTCCAGGAAGACAGGGGACACCTCATGCCTGGCCTGAGCTACACACAGTGCCACCTCATTCCATCTTGGTCTCAGGAATCCCCAACGAGGCAGCCAGCTGGGCTCAGGCGAGCCCTCCCCTCTCTTGACTCCGAAGTGCTTCTGAACAGCCCAGACACTAGAACGCTTGGGGTCTTTCTGTTCTTCTGCTGTTACCAAGCTGTGCAATCTAAAGAAAGCCACTTGACTTCTTTGTTCCTCAAAAGAACATGCCGGGCCATTCTGTCCTTCAGGTGAATGGGTGGGGGACAGGTGATGAGCACCAGGGCAAAGGTTTCCCAATGCCACCCTGGGGCTCAGGTGCCACTGAAAGTCTGCTGCGTACACTAAGGAAACAGCAGGGACCCTCCCGCTGGGCTCCTCCCTAAAGGCTTCTAGGGCTGAGGGGGCTACACAAGCAGCACTGAGTGGACCACGCGCCCAGGAAGAAGTACAGCCGGGTTGTGATCCCGAGGAGCTCTTAGAGCAGTGCCCACCACTGTCTGGACCCCGGCCAGCTGCCAAGGCCACTGGGCTCTCGAAAGCTTGTCGCTCCACAGCCAAACAGGGGCCCGACTGCCCTGGTGCAGGGGAGTCCCGCCGGCCAGGGCACCTCACACTCGCTGATGTGCTGTCCTTGTCCAGCAGCATGATGACTCCACAGCCCGGCCGAAGGCACTGGCCACCCTGGAGGGCTGCTTTGGACCAAAGCAAAGAGGGAGAGGCTGGAGCGCGATGCAGGTGAGCAGCAGCTGGGAACAGGGGAGCCCCAGGCTAAGGTCAGGACTAATTTGGTGACTCAGTGAGACACTGACTTAAAATTTAAAAAAAATAAAAATTGTTTTAAAATGGGCTGGGGATGTAGCTCAGTGCAAAGACCTTGGGTTCGATCCACAGTACTGAAGGGAAAAAATAGAAAACTGCATAGCAACATATGCAGAGGGAAAGGTAGAGGGAGCTTTGCCTCGAGGAAAGCACACGAGTCATAGAATCACAGCTTTATATTTTATACGTGCTGTTCTCAAATCTTCCGGATTTTCTAGCCAGGGCAAAGGGGAGGGGGGAGCTGCTACACTGAGATCCAAGAGGGGGATGGATGTTCAGAAATGAGAAAAGAAGAAAAGGAGGGCAGAGGAGGGGTGCATTGGAGTAGCTGCCTAACCAATCCCAGGCCGCACACTCTGCCTGCGCCTGCAGAATGCTGAGCCCCCGGCAGCCAGCCAGGGCCACCCCCCACCCCCCACCCCAGGGCTCTGGCCTGCGACAGCCTGGGAAGCCAGGCTGGTTCCGCACCGCCCTCGTCCCAGGCGTCCTGGAGCTCATAGGGACCCAGAGGCTGTGGGGAAACAAGGCAACTCTGTGCCTAGGAAAATCCAGGGAGGCTTCCCGAAGGAGGGAGGGCAACGGAGAGAAGCGGTGAGGGGAGACACAACCCGGAGGAGGCCAGCACTTTCAGTGCCTTTCCAATCGAGCCAGCCAATTCGCGACCCTCCACGGCAGCCCTGGTCCTCGCCCCAGTGGGTTATGAGGTTTATGTTTTCTGCCCTCCTGTTTCAACAGTGCTCTGTTGTTTGAAGAACCCTTTCCATTGTCCTGTCTCATCCTCTCTCTCCACAGCTGCTGATACAGCTGGCCAGCACCCACAATACAAGCGAGGCTTAGCAAAACGGGGTGGGGATGGGGCAGTGAGGGAGTGAAAGAGCCCAGAATCCATCCTGCTACGCACTGACTGTGTCCCCTCCCAATCCGTGTGCACACCTCACCATGTGTGGCTGTATTGGAACCTGGGGCTTTGAAGAGGTGGCTGCGGTTAACATGTGTTATCTTGTGCCAGGATCTGCTCTACATGCTTTGTAGATGAGGGAATTGAGGCAGAGGAGAGTTAAAGTAACTGGCCCCAAATGCTAGGGGGAAGCCAGGGGTGGCAGCACACACCCGTGGTCTCAGCACTCTGGGAGGCTGGGGCAGGAGGATCAAGAGTCCAAGCCCAGGCTGGGCAATTCAGTGACTTAGCAAGACCTTGCTTTAAAATTTAAGAACAAAAAAGTGCTGGGATGTGGCTCAGTGCAAAGGCCCTGGGTTCAATCCCTAGTACCACAAAGAAAGAAAGTTCCAGAAAGAAAACAAAAAGCTGCTCTATAAACAGGAAATTGATAATAAGCTGCTGGATGGCCCACCCCAGCCTTGGGGTTTTTTTTTTTTGGTTTGGTTTGGTTTTGGTTTGGTTTTTGGTTTTGGTTTTGGTTTTGGTTTTTGGCAGTCCTGAGGACTGAACCCAGGCTTTGCACTGAGCTCCATCCCCAGCCCTTTTTTATTTTTTATCCGAGACAGGGTCTCGCTAAGTCACTAAACTGCCCAGGCTGGACTCAAACTTGCCATCCTCCTGCCCCAGCCTCCCAGAGTGCTGGAACTACAGGTGTCTGCCCTCACCCACCTCCCTCCCTGGCCTCTAGTGAACACCCAGAATGAAGACATAAAGGAGCCGGCATCCTTGCCAGCTATTTTCACAAAGAGGTTTAGTTTTTAAAGAGGGGGTAGACACTCCTGGGCCCTCGAGGTGCCTCACAGGGAAGTAGCAGAGCGGGCAGCAGAGGCCTGAGGACTTACAAGGCCTGCAGCCCAGCCCTCCACCCCATCCCTTCATTCTCCTGCCTGCCCCATCCCCACAGCAGGCATGGCTGGGAGCCTCGCCCGGCAGCAGGGAGTCAGCTGCCTTAATGGGTCACAAAGGGACCAACAGCTCACCACCTCCCTTCACCTAGGCCACTGACCTGACCCCACAGGTCCCTTCCACCTGGAGTGTCCAGAGGAGCACGCTGCAGCAGAACAAGAGACAGGATGCCAACCCCACCTCGGACAATGAGCTGCACACAGGCTGCCTCTCTCAAAGCTGCATGGCTCCCTCAAATGTCCTCAGGGCACAGAGCAACCACCTGCCTTCCTGTAGGGAGCCGCGCAGGACACAGCGACTGGCGGGGGGCTTCCAGAGCTGCTGCAAGGGCTGAACTGTGTCCCCCCAAATTCATGTGCTACAGCCCTAAGGCCCAGCCCCTCAGAACACACCTGCATTTGGAGACTGGGATGTTTTCGGGATTGTTAGGATGAGGCGTGGGCTCCTCATGAAAAGAGGTGGTCAGGACACAGACACTCAAAGAAGGCGAGCCCAGGAGGCATCTGCAAGCCAAGGAGTGGGGCCTCAGGAGAAGCACCTCGGCACCTGGATCGTGGACTTCCAGCCTCCAGTACTGTGAGATGATGAATTCCCATTGCTTACGCCACCTGGTGCACTCACACTGTCACCGACCACCGGGCCACATCTCCACACCGTGCCCGAGGGGTGGACAGACACGCCATGCCCATTCTGTGCACAGGCCCACTCAGGGGAAGTTATCTGCCAAGACTTCTCGGCCAGTGAAACTATGGCTCTTAAGAAACAATAGAAATTAAAAATGTAAAACTTAAAAAAAAGACAAAGTACCTTTTTCTACTGCGAGAGTAAACCTGTCAAGGAATGTAAGACGTCAGTGGAATCAGCATAGGGTGCTCAGGCCCGCAGACTTGCTGCAGTCACCAGGCCAAGATCAAATTTCTCAGCCTGTGATCACAACCCAGTCTCCTAGACCCAATAAAGGGTCAGAAGCTTGTGTTTTTCTTTTTTTTTTCAATGTTGCTTATTCATTTGTTTATTTTATGGTGCTAGGAATGGAACCCAGGGCCTTGTCCATGCTAGGCAAGGACTTTACCACCAAGCCACATCCTAGTCCCAAACAAGAGCTTTAGACTCTGTTTTAGTCAGCTTTCTCATTGCTGGGACACAGCGCCTAGCACCTATAACTTAAACAGGGACAGGATTAATTTGGGTCACAGCTTCAGGGGATTCAGTCCATAGTCAGCTGGGTCAGGAACATGGCAGAAGAGCACTGTGGAACAAAGCTGCTTAGTTCATGGCGGCCAGGAAGCAGAGCAGGGAAACAGTGCCAGAGAGGAAGGGGTAGGGACCAGATACAGACCCCAAAGTCACCCCTCCATGTCCACCGA